AAAGCACTGCCTTTCAAATATGTCTGTAGGGCTTCAAAGAGTTCATCGTGTGGCATCACTTTATACTGCAGCGCTTTCTGTGGCTTAGTTGTTTTTCTTCTGAGAATTCACATTTTCATAGTACGCTGTTCTTCTGCTGCAGTTACTCAGAAGACATGAAGGTTTTGTTTGAAAAGAGTTACGTGAATTGCGTAATGTTACTGGCTTTACTGTCTTGCTCTCTGTTTTTTTTTTTCATACTTTGTGCTGACTTTTGCGCTTCTCTATTACACTCAGGTTTACTAACGTACGTGAACTGCAAGAGTGTCAAGCTGGCGATGAAAGTCCAGGATGTCTTTACCACAGCCAAACTGGCAGCGCTGGCGCTTATCATCATCACAGGCATCGTTCGGATTGCGCAAGGTTCGTTTTTGAAGCAGCGGCATGTTTCGTTTTTTGAAGCGATTTTCGTAACAGTGCAATAACTGGGGCACTGCAACGCTGAGCGTGCTGCAGTGACCCAGCTGGTTCACCTTTTCTTTTAGTGTTCGCAGTGAAATTTTTATTCAGTGGTGAAATATCTTGCACAACACAATGTGCACTACGAGAAAAAACTTGTATACGCTGTTAAAATTAAGTTTTTCGTAGCTACTAAATGTCCATGACAAACTGCTTGTTCCATATGTTGAATTACTTGTTAGTAACTGCAGTGAATATATGAGCGTTAGGAACAGTTACTAATTATAAATGCCAGGAAACGTTACCAACAGTTCTCCTGTACCGGCTCCAAAACTTTCTAAGTGTTATTGTTTACTACTGAGTTATCATGTTAAAAAAGAAAGAGCTTTTCTCAGCCTTATAGGTCACGTGGTGAAGCAGTCTTAATTTAAAAGCATGTCTATAGAAGAGAAAATTACGGCTGATATTGCACGTTCTGTTTCGATTTGTTCAGTATATAATCACTTATAACAGTTGTGCAAAAAACATCAGCGGTCGATGACAAGGAACTACTTATCACCAAAAGCTATGAAAAGGCTACTGTGCGGCATAATCTTTACATGCCTCAAGCGTACAGGGTGTCCCAAATATCATGCAGTACGTTTTAATTAGAGAGTAACGTCGGTACGTGAAGCACGCTTAGTGCGTATTGTTCTAAACATACTGTAGGAGCCGATACTAATTTTCTTGTTAATGAAGTTCAGGTAATTAGTCCTAATTATGCTTCTAACTTGACAAGTACTCACTCGATCACTAAAATGCCAATGGGGCATATGTAGGTATGCTCAAAAGACATATAACTGTGCTATTTATAGCGATGTACTAATTACGTGCTTTTTTTTGCAGATGGCAAATTTAGCACGCTAAGTAGTATACAAAAATAATACGTTACTACGCTCCCACACGCGAATGGTTCGAGCGTAATCTTGACTTGCTACATCACAGTGATCCTGTTTGAGGGCGTTGCTTCCTCATGCGTGCTGCAGTCTAGTCATGTGCCATTTTTCAAACTTCGCGAGCTTTATTTATTAGCCTAAATATGTGAGCACCTAATTAGAACATTGCTGGAAATAGCGCATGTAAATATAATTGGAACATACCTACATACGCATAATTGACATTTTAATGATTAGGGTAGTATTTGGAAACATAACTAAATACGTACACCTCATTAACGAGAAAATGTATTGTGGCTACTACACTACATCGGGACCAATATGTACTAAGTATTTTTCGTTTAACGGCTTTTCAATTTTTTTTTCTGATTGTGCTGCGTGATATATGGGACACCTTGTCTACACAGGCTGAGTTTCGGGAACCGCAGCTTGTGCCGGTGGGGAGAAACATATCGTAAGAAATGTGTGAATCAGTTGCCTTAACTTTCTGTGATATATTCCATGTGATGAAATGACATGTAGTACGTAAAAAGTAATGTTGAAAAGCTGCAGTTCAATCAAGGATGCACACAAAATTATCATCCAATAGAATGGGTCTGTCACAGGAACGTGAACGATGGATAATAAGAAATGAGTTGATGACAGTGATAGCACTCTTTGTTTCATACTTTGACTACGTTATCTGGCCCCCCTGCGTTCTAACGCGATGGCGTTAAAGTGGTCGTTTCGAAAAAAATCCGTCCTTGGCGTAGTTGGTTGTGAGCGAAAAATTGAGAAATATGCGATGAAAATAAATATCTGTTCCGATGAGAATCTAGCCCAGGTCGTATGCGGGTCAATTAAGCAGCTGTTCTGCCACGCAACCACACATTGCTTGAAACTGTCCTAAAAACACCATGCGATCGTTGTGTAGCGGGAGGAGTCCCTTTAACGCGTATTGCATGATGGACGAGTACAATCACGCCAGGTGTCAAAACATGTGAATGGCGCAATGAGGGCATGCCTTAAAGTCTGACCTATTACCAAGTGTTCAGACATGTTTATTAATATTTATCAGCAAAAACATCAACAGAGTGGGCCCTTTGCTGATTTGCAAAAGGAAGAATCATGGCGTATAGTGCCCCGCCGCGGTGGTCTAGTGGCCAAGGTACTCGGCTGCTGACCCGCAGGTCGCGGGATCGAATCCAGGCTGCGGCGTCTGCATTTCCGATGGAGGCGGAAATGTTGTACGCCCGTGTGCTCAGATTTAGGCGCACGTTAAACAACCTCAGGGGGTCAAAATTTCCGGAGCCCTCCACTACGGTGTCTCTCATAATTATATGGTGGTTTTGGGATGTTAAAACTCACGAATCTTATCTAATCAGGGTGTAGTGGGCAGTTAGAAATTTTCTAGGATAATTTAAAATTGACAGTGTTACGCGCACAGAGGTTCGTTCACCAAGAAGCGAAATCAGGCAAGAGAAGGCGATACGAATGGGGCCCGATTATGCTATCACATTCTACTCCCAAAGGTGAATTTTAAGCGTCCTTCAAATTTCATGTGTCATTATGATGTTCATGCTTTTTCTATGAAAGGGATAGCGAGCGAAACATTTGCCGTCGAGATTTTGTAATTCAATTAAAAGTTTGGATGCTGAAGTTGGTACACACGACCTTGTTTTAATCCGGAAACTAGCCGAAAACAATACTGCGTTTTCCACAAACTGCCACATCTGGCGGGCGTTCCATGAACTAGCAGAAGTCGCGTTTTCTTCGACTGAAAGTGGCGTTCTGACCGTGCTCTCTGCACGATTGCTTATCGGCAGCCATCGCCCGCGTCTCTCAACCGGCTGTGTGGGCCGTCGTTGCTGCAATCAACCAGCAGCTGCCCGCACGCTAACCACTAACGTATGCAAGGCACATGGTTGCCCCAGAACGCTTCACTGCCACGCTTTGTCACGTTGTTAGCCAACGGTTCTCACTGTTGCGCTGAATTTTATCGCCGCCCCGCCGTGGTGGTCTAGTGGCTAAGGTACTCGGCTGCTGACCCGCAGGTCGCGGGTTCGAATCCCGGCTGCGGCGGCTGCATTTCCGATGGAGGCGGAAATGTTGTAGGCCCGTGTGCTCAGATTTGGGTGCACGTTAAAGAACCCCAGGTGGTCGAAGTGTCCGGAGCCTTCCACTACGGCGTCTCTCATAATCATATCGTGGTTTTGGGACGTTAAACGCCAAAAATCAATCAATCAGCAGCCGGTTCAGACAAAAGGAGAAAACGATGACGCTAATCAATAAGTCCCCATGCACGCGTGTACCGTGAGGGCATTTGATCGCCGAAAGCAATTATAACAGAGCACGCACATGAATAAACCAACAAAGTTGGATACATGCGCGGCGATAAAATTGATTATTGATTGATATGTGGGGTTTAACGTCCCAAAACCACCATATGATTATGAGAGACGCCGTAGTGGAGGACTCCGGAAATTTTGACCACCTGGGGTTCTTTAACGTGCACCCAAATCTGAGCACACGGGCCTGCAACATTTCCGCCTCCATCGGAAATGCAGCCGACACAGACGGAATTCGTTCCCGCGAGCTGAAACCGCTTGCTGTGGCAGGACGTAGGCATCCATACCAAACCATCCGTACCCATATCTGTACGATTTCTTTAATATTTTATTGTCTGTTTGCGTTTCATTTCAGGTGAAGTCGGGTATCTGCGAAACAGCTTCGAAGGAGAGTACTCTGTTGGCGGCATATCGCTTTCTTTTTACGCCGGACTGTTTGCTTTCGGAGGATGGTGAGTGTAATCGTAAAGCGAGAAAAATTTTCACACGCAACGGCGTTTTTCGTTCCTTTCTTTTGTAGGTGCCATGTTCTCGCACTGTCGTCGTAGTTTTTATGAGAATACGGAATGGAGGTATCAAGGAGGTATCAAGAGATCTGGATTGCGTTTAGACGAGCCTTTTGTAGCTGATCGAAGCGCGAATGCACCTTCACGATCGAAGGGTAACTGCGCGTTTTCGCAGCAATAATATGAAATGATACGGTTTGCTGAGAACGTCCGATCCACAACGTACGGCCTCCCTTCCCTTCCAGTTCGTACAGAGAATGAAATGCACTGAATGAGCCATTAGAGCGGTCGCAATTAAATTTGAAGGTCGTGTAGGTATGTCAAAGTTTATATGTGAGAAAAGTTAGAAAAGGGGGTGATCAGTGCCGTGTATGAAATTAGCGTTAGCAAAGTTCCGTTCACTGCGCTTTTGAGCTAGAGTGTTTCAATAAGATGCCGTTTCAGCGAATTCTTGGACGTGTCAACATAAAGCTAGGAATTTTCGAAGCTTATTTTAAGTGAGAAATGCTGCAGCGTATTGAAATTTGTTGAAGTACATAAATTATATTTTGACTCATCAACTTTTCTTTATACTTTACGTGGCAATAAAACAAGAATAACTTGATGCATTGTTATTATATTGCTAAAAAATGAACTATGTCAGAAAGAACATGGTGGAAATATTTCATTTAATTTTGCTACGGTATCAAAGACGCACTCTCAGAAGAACAGTCTCTTTTGTACCCCTTTTATACACTGTGTAATGTACCTTTCAATACTACTTTACCACATATCTTGGCAAAAATTGACTGCTTTACTTGTTCGAACAAGGTTTTGAAGAATTACATAGCGTAAAGAATGAAATTGTGGTACTTTCCTCCGATTATTTGCACTATTGAGCAACATTCGGCAGTCCAATAACAATGCGTACTCAAGTTGTTGGTGGAGTTTTATTAATATCAAAATAATCACTTTAAATCTTAGGTGGCACCAACAGGCTAGTTAGTTATACATGGCACCAACAGGCTAGTTAGTTATACATGATTCTGAAAATTCGAGTTCAATTTAACAAAGACGGGAAAAAACAATGATTCACACAGCACAGACGCCTGTGCAGTGTTTATTGCCCCGTAAAGTATCGAGAACACTTCACATTGTCGAAATTCAAGCCATCCAGTGTCAACGGATAGTGAAAATTTATTTTTTATTTAGTGTTTCTTTCGATCTGTTCGTGTTATAGGCGTAGGATGTGAAGGGAGAGAGAAGACTCAAGAGTTAAATGTACATCATAGTAGCATACTAAATTGAGCTATATTGACAGGTTAGGCTTTTGTAATAATGAATTTGATATTCACAGCGATAACAGTACTTTCGTAGGTGAAAAGATGAGAATCAAAAGGGAAAGAAAGGGCAAAATACGTAAATCATTTAGAAATATCGCAGCTCTCTTATTACCAAAGCGGTGACTGATTCACCGGAATTGGTGAAGGGGGCCTTTCCTGTTCTGTGTTCATGTCTCGAACTCGACCGTTTTAGGGCGATTCAAATTCACGAACCTCGCCTTTTGTTATAACATAATACACACTCAATTTCATGTGTTTGCCCACTGAGATAAAAAAGACAAATTCCTAAACGAATTATTCATTGATGTTCCTTTAAAGATGTAACGAGCGCTTTTCTTAAAAATAGCTTCTAATATTGCTTAGAAGGATTTGTATAGCCTGCTGCCTATGTGCTTCGGGCCACGAGGCGAGTGTGGCCTATGAGTGCTTTGGAAAAGGTCATTGAATGATAGCGGCCTCCTTGCTCCTCCGTTGTGGCTATCTTAAGGAGTTCGAGCCTTTTGCCTCCGGGCATTTTGTTCTTTGTTTGTTTGAGGCGATACAGCGTCAATATATGTGTGATTGTTTGTGCCCTTGTCAAATACTACTACTACTACTACTACTACTACTACTACTACTACTACTATTACTACTACTACTACTACTACTACTACTACTACGACTACTACTACTAATAATAATAATCGCTCAAAAATCCGGTAGACTTCATTGTTCTCTGAGTCTGCTGCCGCAACCTTTTAGTTCCTGCTACTTATTGTATAGCGTAATAGATATAGTATGGTACGTAGAAAAGGTAATACGTTCAGAGCAGTTCAAAAGCGAATGTTGTGTGTTTGTATGCACTTGGCTAAGCAGGAGTAATGACGTTTCTGTAAGAAATATATAGACACTTGTAATGATTAGATGAACGCCATCTATGAACGTGATCTCAGTGTAACATTTTTCTCCTGGTAAAGGAAATGAAATGGCATGGTAGAAGAGCTAAATGTAGATGAACTATTTTGCTGACGATGTTTGCATATGATGTATTATTGATCAGTGCTTCATAACAAGTCGGTCCAGGTTTATCTACGACATCGCAGAGATATGGGACACTATGACTGCGATTACTTTTGATGTTTCGAAAGATTCCTTTGGTGATGTACATTTAGTATTGACGTTGACTGACAGTTTATTTTTAAAATTTCATAGGAATTATTTGAATTATGTGTCCGAGGAGCTGAAGGATCCGAACAGGTAAGTCTTTTCCGTTTCTTCCATTTGCTATTGCTTACCAGCTATTTTCACAATGAATTGTTGAGCTGGCATGTGCAAAAAGTAACTTCAGCACAGTTATTGTCTGGATAAATATGTAGGACGAGAAGTCTGATATCCAATATGAATGCTATCTTGCTACTATATCGTCGCGAAAGATTGACTCGGTCTGGCAGGTGGGACAGAAAGGATGACGAGGAATGTCCAACTTCGAACGTCAATCAAATCGTGGGGCTTCATCTGTCAAAACTACGATGCAACCACGAGACACGCCATGGTGGTTTCCTTCAACTCAACCTCGAACGCCCAGAGTTGTTTAACGTGTACTTCAACTTAAATACGGCGCGTTGAAACGCGTATTTTAATTACTGGAGCTTTTTTCCTCAGCGTTGTTGACAAAAATATTCCCTTGTTGCCGCGAAATAAGATTTCGTCCAGAAATAAGCGTATGTTGTTTACTGGTGTAGGACGATTTTGCAACAGTTGCGGGAAAAGACCTTATCACTTGATGATCAAGTGGCGGCTGTTCACATTTTTTTGTTGAAGTCTTAGAATAACTTGCTCCCTCACATCTGCTTTATATTTATCTTCCAGAAACCTGCCCAGGGCTATATACATCGGCATCACGCTTGTGACGGTCGTCTACGTCATGGCGAACGTTGCCTACTTCACCGCAGTATCTCCCCAAGAGATGCTTGCATCGCCAGCTGTTGCTGTGGTATGTTTTCGGCGCGTTACATTGCGTAACGCCTTTGCTGATCGCCGTAAGGGGCCTCGAGGCAAAGTTTCCTTATATTACGCTAGAGTGGAATTCGGAGCTATAGTGGCTCTGGGCGCTGCAACGCACGTCGCTTCAGTCAGCATGGGAACGATGGGTGCTGCATGGATTCGCCTGTGAGCGGCGCTCGAGTTCACACGGCCGAGTCCACCGTCAGCATCTCGGCGTCCGCACGAGAAACACGAGCTCTGAGCGCGTCCGCTCGGCGCTATTGCCATGCGGCGTTGGTTCGACGAACAATAAAAAAAGAGAACAAAGGGGAGCTTGTGAGCCGGGAACGCATAGCAACGCATCGCCAGGGCAACCCGAGACACGAGTGGCATCGGATGCATCCGAACGAGCTCCAGCACCGAACCCAGTTTCCTTCTACATTTAACCACTGCCGATTCACTTCTAACTTCAGTACAACACAGTTTTCTTCTTTAAAATTTAACCTTGCCTTTACTTCACGATTTGGATATTGCTGACACGCCTAAGCTTTTTTTTTTTCGCCTTGTGACTCGGTGTGGCCTGAAACGGCTTTGTTGTAAGAAGAAATTCACGACGTTTGGCAAACCTTCAGCAGTCCTGCTTCATCACCTTCACCCTTTTAGGCTCACCGATTCCACTCAGCTCACGAGGTTCAGAACGATCCATTCTTTGATCCGAAACAAAAACCACAACACAACAACAAACAGAGCCACCCAGGCATTAGAAGCCGCGCACACGAAGACTAGGTAAACCCATGTACTATCCATCATTCCCATTTTGCCCGAACGATTGCAGCCCCACAGACAGTTTCCCCTGGTAAATATTTCAGAAATGTGTATGCCTCATGTGACTGTTTTTTAAGCAGCCATTGTTAGATCCGCTAGCCGCTCTGCCACCAGCGGTGTTATCAACACCAAAACGGTGCACACGAAAGGTTCCTACTGTATTATGGCTTTCGCTACGACAGGCTATTTGAAATGCTCGTGAGTGAATAACGCTATATATCAATGCGTCCATTTACGGAAAACTTTCCGCAGTCGAAGCTCGTATAACGACGGCTTACCGTATACAGTGGCGATCAAACTTTTGAAGACTACGGCAGCGCGTTGCCAACAACACCGCGGCGCCTTCTCACGGCTACCAGAGAAGTTCGAGAGCGCGCACTGCGCAAGTGCAGCCTTTCCTACATGCCAACCTGAACGACAGAAAAATCGCAAGGTTTTGCATACGCCGCGGAAGCACTTAGCGATAATATCGCGACAAAAATATCCATTCGTAGGGCACTCCACGTTGTGCGCAGCTGGTGCGCCTTGGTTCTCGCGGTGGTGATAAGTCTGATAACACGCACATTGCGGTAGTTTCTTTTTTTATAATTACGCATGTGGTAAGATTACCGAGCAGTCCTGCTTCTTGGCGAACACGTGTGTTTTTGCCGCCGTGGAACGTCTGGAACGAAGGCGAAAAAGCGGCGCCCAGCGAGCGCTGCCGAGTTGAATATTTTTGTCGCGGTATTATCGCTAGGTGCTTCCGCAGGGCATGCAAAAGTGACACCGTGTGATTTCTCTGGAGTTTTAGTGTGCACGCAGTTAAAGAGAGCGAAAGCGCAGGTTGGCAGGTAGAAAAAGACGCACTTGCGTAGGGCGCGCTTTCAAGCTTTTCTGCTAGCCGTGACAAGGTGCCGTGGTGCTGTTTGCCACGTGCTCCCGTGGTCTCCTAACTTTCGATCGCCACTGTACATGCGATGGAACGAGAGCACAAATAGCCGTAATTTGGAAGATTGAAGACTGGGCGTGTTGACAAGTGACGACTGTATACACTGTACAGCGCAATCGATCGACGAGACACAAGACAGACAACACGCGCACACACAGCAAAGAGAGGCTCAGTGATTTGTTGTGTGTCTACCGTTCTTCCCGTTGATCAGTTGCGCTATACAATTCACAGCACTTATTGCCATTTCTTTATGCATGTCGAAGCTAAGCGATCTGTAAACGAATAGCTACATTTGGGCATAACTTAAAGGAACATGTTTACTGCACGGAAAAACTTTGCTGATTGTGGCGTAAATGAGAAGACTGTTCATCACATCGGTGGTAACCCGCATACTTTTGTCACATAAAAGAGGGAACTGCAGTCCGCCTCGGTGGATCAGTCGGTAAGGTGCTCGGCTTCTGACATGATAGTCGCGGGTTCGATATAGGCCGTGGCGGTCGCATTTCGATGGAGACATATTTTTATTAAAGAATTATAGTTTTAACTTATGTTGAAAGTTGACCAAAATGACCGCTAGCGTCACCCAACAGCGATGTGGTCAATCTACTGGAAGGACAGGAAATCGTGACAGGTTGACTCTTTTGCCTAAAAACAAACGTGTGTAGCTTGAACTCGCCTTTTACGCACTTGACGCAGCTTTGATTTACGCTAGAGACAAATGTTTTGCTTTTTTTTTCTCACCCGTTCAAAGAGGCACATGGTGGCGCTGTCGAGGTGTGTTCTCCTGCCTGCGTACAAACAGCAGAGAAACGCGTGCATGGCGTCCGTCGCCACTCATTGATCGAAATGTGGCGTTTAACGTCTCAAAACCACCATATGAATACGAGAGACGCCGTAGTGAAGGGCTTCGGGAATTTCGACCACCTGGGGTTCTTTAACGTGCACCCAAATCTGAGCATACGGGCCTACAACAGTTCCGCCTCCATCGGAAATGCAGCCGTCACAGCCGAAATTTGATCCCGCGACCTGCGGGTCAGCAGCCGTGTACCTTAGCCACTAGACCACCGCGGTGGGGCGCCGCCACTCATGAAAACAACAAAAAAGTGTGTGCGTGCCATAAACGACCACTAATGTATTTGTTTGATTATTTAACAAAACTTGATAAAGCTGGTCGTAAATTATACTGTACATGACTTTCGTGTCATGTTTGGACGTGTCATTTACCTTCGTCGTCCGTTCACTTATCGTAATACCAAATTTGGTATATGTGAAGCTAGCGAAACGGCTGTGAGCCCATCATGGGTGATGTATGTTATCATGTTCTTACATTACACGCATGTCATCATTATCATGTTTGCACCAGTCATATACTTTCGCAATTCAATTACGTCACGTAACACAGTTTGATATACGCGAAGCTAGGAAAACGACTGCTAGTGCGTCATGAGCGTGGCATGTAGTCATTTATTTACACGACATGCATCTCATAATTCCCACGTTAGGGTCTGTCATTTGTGTTCGTCATGCAGTCATGTCATACCATACAAGTTTTGCAACATGTCATGTGAACGGAACCACCACAACAGCAGCATGACCATGAAATGTAAATCATAACATTCATAACATACATGTAACCATTTTCATGTTATGACTAGTCACTTATGCTCATCATACAGTCATGTTATGCCATACCAATTTTGGTATCGATACTGTTATCGAAACGGCCAGGGGAGCGAAAAGTCGTAGGCGGCTAGACAGAGAGACAGACAGACGGACGGACGGACGATATATAGATAGATAGATAGATGATAGATAGATGATAGATGATAGATAGATAGATGATAGATAGATAGATAGATGATAGATAAACGATAGATAGATAGATGACAGATACATAGATAAATAGATAGATAGATGATAGATGATAGATAGATACGCTCAAAGTCGCCAAAGTTTGCTAAGAAATGCTTCGCATTTTAAAAAATCCTGTCCTGAAAATTTCTACACACTTTTCAGAGAACTTTGCTGCAATGTCAGACACTACTTCAGGAGGCACTTTTTTATTGCGACAGAAAACAGAAAAGCAGTGAAGGATGGTTCCTTTGATGAATATCTGAGATATGGCGCATCCATGACGTAACAGAGAAGAAGACACATAACACATACACAGCGCTAACTAGAAGTTGCACGGGCTTTTGGTTATCAATATCACGGCCTTTATTCAAGGCAGTGATATGGTGTGTTGTTTTGTCTATATATGGTTTGTTGTTTTGACAGTATATGGGGTCTCGAGGCTGTTTTTTTGGATGCGACGAACTCGTGCTGTAGGTCCTCCTGAAACTAGATAGCTAGGCGGGCTAGTTGGTATCTCAGATTTGAGCTCGAATAAGCGACGCGGGACCAAGAAAGAAAAAAACACACCACAAGTGCTCACTCGCAACTGATTTGTCTTAGATGACAGAACACACAGGTGGGATTTTTCTGAAAGAGAGCTCGCGAGGGCGTGGCCGATAGCCTCGTGCCACACATTGGCGTGGTGCAGGGGTGAAATCTGAAAAAAAAAAAAAAGTGGTGGCTTTTGCTCTGCATGCTGCCTGCACTCCCGTCACGTATGTGTCTTTATTTTGCGCTTTCTTCGTGAAATATCTCTTCTGTTGGGACATTTAAACAAAACATGATTCGTTTCTATTAGAAATCTTACGGTCACAGCTTCTACCCACTACCAACTAAATATATACTTCTATACAAACTATATAAGGTCATAAAGAAAGAAGGAAAGCTGCCAGAAGGGATGCAGGTGATGGCACTGCTCTCTCCTTTTATCTGCCTCGTGCTCTCGTGTTCTACTCTTTCATAAAAATTACGGCTGTACATACATACAAACATCGCATCGCGCATGTCACAAGGAGTTACAAGCCTACCCCAAGGAACATATTCAATGTATTTTAATAAAACTGAATTACTTGTCATGCTATGATATATGACGTATGATATATGACGTATGAAGATGTGCCAATGCCTCTAAGATTTCTCGCGTGGTGTGATGCGGGCGATGAAAGAAAACGATAGTGCTTTCAAAAGAAGGTCTGCAAAAGGTGTAACGTTCAATGAATTTTTGTGTTTTAATGGCGGGTGTAGAAACATTGACGGATCTGGCTGATCTACACGTGACCACATGAAAAAGGGATTCGGTACGTCACACATTAGGACCAAACCACGTACACCCGTTGACAAAACAAGTCGGGACGTGCGAGCGA